AACAACGAGTAACCAGCATCTATGGAGCGCAGCTGCCTTGTAGGGCAATAAGGTGTTACAAGCTCTTTAAGATACGACGGTGACTCACCAGCAAGTGCCTTGTAGGTGAGGAGAAGTACCTTAAAATCTATTCTTGATTCGTTTGCTTTGCGACGTTCATCAGCGTTCGGGGAATGAGGACGACGAGGCGGGAAGGGGGACAGAATGTGGACGCAGAGAGAAGACTTCAAGTCCCGTCAGCTGTATTATGACGTGTCTTCATATCAAAGTGTCAGAGAGTGGACACAGCGACGTCCCGTCAATCAAGGTTAACGAACAACACGAACGACTAATTATCCTGGTGATGATATTTTCATTTAAACAGCCAGACTGTGTTTACACCCTATTCTGTTTTATCATTTAAAAACAATGTTAACTGCAAGAAATGATCACGCAACATGGTCTGAGTTCACTCGGACAATCCGATTTAAATGTTTTCTCAGCTATTATTTGTGGAATAAAACTTAGAATTCACTGCTAACTTTTAAAGCTTAAAGACAAATAATGTCATTTATTTGAGACACGGTCTGATGAGAAAGATATATTGGCTGGACAAAGAAAGTGAGAACGAGTTGAAAGACAATTCCATGACAAATGAAATCCAAATATCCTTGTGTACTCTTACAAACGGGCCCGGCCCAACTTTAAGAAACATATTTAACTGAAAACTGTAGTTTTTGCTCTTGCCTGTCTTTACATACAGCCAATAGAAGTACCGTCTCCCTCTCAGGTCCTCACAGGTTATAGAAGTCTGACGGTCCAGCTTTGCTCCAGCGAGCCTGAAACAGATCCTCCTCCCCCTCATCTTCATCTGCTGCTCCGGAGACACTAGTCCAGACATGGGCAACGTTGGTGCTCACGTTATTTATTTGAAATTGCACTTTCTTGTTCTTTTGTGCCTTTATTCTTATGGTTAAAATGCATTTAGTGTAAGTTGCTTTGGATAAAAGTGTCAGCTAAATTACATGTAATGTAATTTCAGTAGCACTTAAATAGAAACTTATTTATACTACTGAATTAGGACCCGGTGGAATTCTATTTATCTCTATTTTTATTGTAGTGTTACGGCGGTTATTAATTACGTTACGAACGCCCGGTTACATTATTGCCGTGGTTCTCAAACTGTGGGGAGTTTTTTTTAATTTTTATAAAACATAATTTAATTTATAATCTTTTATTAATCCCACATGGGGAAATTATTATACTCTGCATTTTACCCATCCTTAGTAATTGCTGCTGTGAAGCACTGGGGCTTCAGTGTCTGGATCAAGAACTTTGTTATTATCCTGAAAAGATATTCAGTACAAAACATGTTAATTAGGCTCTTACAATAAGCGATGTGGGAGCCAGTCATTTATTCTTAAATATAGTTGCTTCGTTGTTTGGGTAATTAGATTACTCAGGGGCACAGCCAGGTGGGACCAGCATGCACCTGGGTGCCGAATAGTTTGTACCAGTGAGACAGAGCGACAGAGCACTGCATAGGAAGGCAGACAACTGTGAATGTTGGTGGATTCTATGAAATAAGAAACAAGAAAACAAAAACTAGGTGCAGCAGTGGCCTCTGATTCAAAGATGTGTTGGTAACAAGGACAAATGGCCACTACAAGCTATTTTTGACAAATATTAGTTCTTTTTTGCATTGTTCCAACAAATTTTACAAACAGTAGATCTTCTCCAAACACATGTAATATAAAGTATGCAGGGTCCTCGAGCCTCACGCCAGACACACGCATGTCAACGATTTCACACGCCACATCTCGGCCACCGTACCTCCGTCACTAAGCAACATAGACGCGCCAACACAAGTGACAGGTGTCGACTTTGGATACACGGAGCAGGTGTAGGAAAACCCGGAGGGCCGACACATGAGAGAAAAAAAAACTGGTTATGAAACCAAAAAATGAGACGGAGACCAAGAAGAATGTTCAATGAAAAGCGGAGAATGACGGATTTATGATCCAGCCAAGAAAATGATGTATTGCTGGACGTACGGTCGAGGGGGAGTCGCTTTTGTAGTTGGGACAACCAATTTCACAGTGGAAACAATAAAGGACCAGATAAAGGATGAGATTTCCGTCGGCCATCTCAAAAAGCATTGCGACGAAACGGACGAAGACGACAAAGTGTTTCAGTGAGGCTCCTGGTCCTCATGAAGACACCTCTTATATGCAACGAGCTACTCTTTGTGTCTGAATCAGTTGCATTTGTTTTCACACAAAAGGAGCTTTACACACTTATAAGAGCTGGAGATTTGGGGACTGTACGTATACATTTTATGTAGCCTTGAGTTCTTCAAATAACTGGACCAAACCATAGTCAACTTTAATCAATTAATAAAGTTCAAGTGAGGTAATTGGTGTGGCCTCAGATATGTTTTTGTTTTGTTTATGTCAGTGAAATGTGTTACATTTACATTACATGTCATTTAGCTGACGCTTTTATCCAAAGCGACTTACAATAAGTGCATTCAGCCATAGGGTACAAACTCAGGAGAACAAGAAACAAGTAGCTTGGCTACTTGTCAAGAGCCAATCCTCTCATGTAATGATTATTACATGTCATTCATGTTAGTTCACCCAAACACTCCGTCCATTTGGCCCCTCTGTCATATTCTACAACCCACTGTGGCCCCCGAGTCAAAAGGTTTGCCCACCCCTGCTCTTGTCCATCGGGTGGCGCCGTCCACCCACCGAACTGCAAAACAAAACACCAGCAGAGAGTTGCTCATGATTGCTTTGTGATGTAAGACAATGTTTTTGGTGTATAACAGATGGCGTTTCTATCACCAGCTACAGTACGTTAAGCTTTTGTCAACCTGATACTCAAAATACATTAAAGAGAGTCAGAACCAATTCAAACACAAGACAAAGTTTAAAGGGCGACGTATCAGATGTATGACAGTGGATTCCGTAGTAATTTACCGTATTTCTCTATTTCCCTTATGCGCGGAAGTTCAATGAGGTAATAAAAATCCTTAAATGTTGTTGCTGAATTCCCTTGGCACACTAGTTTGAATCGAGGGCACTGCATTGCCCGAGGGCCCGGAGGCTGATACGAGACATGTCTGCAGCTATGGTCATCAGATTGTTGATACACTGCAACAACATCCTTGTCCAGAACCTGCAGCAGAGCTCGAATGGGGACATCCCGCTGTCTTTGAAAATCAGCACCAAAGGACCCGTCCGGCTCCTGCCACCGTCTCAGATGGCGCAGCATGGTGTTTTAAACCAAGAAGGTTCTCATAAAGAGCCTCAGCCAGTGTGTCCTGGGAGGTTTTTCTACACCGTCTCCTCATCTCAGTCAAGGGTAACCGCAGCAACAGACCTGTGCAGTCATGCCAACGCAACCGCACCAGCATCACATCCATCTGAGGGATGGAAGCAAGTGTATTGCCTCAATGTCAAAGGGCGTTATGAGAAAAGAAGCCTATGGTTAACCTCTTCAAGCTCCTTGGCACTGACGTCCTTTTAGGTTGCTCTGCAGAAGGTATTTTACAAGGCTGGTGTTCTATCAACAACATCAGGCAGTGGTATCATTAATCGTTTGTGGTGAACGTATAAGAAAAGGTATTGAATGAAATTGAACAGTTCAACAAAAAAAAACTCCATTATAGAGTTCGGCAATCGCCTTTGTCTGAAGACGGAGCACTTATGTCCAGGGTGGTAATGTGCTCCTCCAGGATCACAGTGTCTATGGGATTTGATGAGAATAAACATTGGGAATCGTTCACCATGGCGGCATCCACAGATTTCCACCAGGCTGCAGACCGCTGGAAGATTTTGGACAAAATGAGGGAGAGTATATTTGACAACGGTGTTCATCCTTCTAGCGCTTCCACTGTTATTGAGGCCCGCGGCGTCCCGACACCTCGTGCAGACACTTTATGTTGTTTAATCTGTCATCCATCTGCACTACCCTACAAAGCTTAGAAGTACAATCCAGTCCAAGTTGGGTCGATATCTGAATCTGACTTTTGGCAATTATTTTTACCATTTATTTTAACATAAGATATTTTGTGCCGCACATCTGTATGACCATGTTTACTTCACGTTCAGATAGAACAGCATGTACGATTTGTAATGTTAAAGCTACAAAGCAAAGCTAAAACTGTAGCATTGTTTTCCAAGATCGATGTGCTGCAGAGAGGCTGCGATGGGAACTGCAAGGTTGGCAGTTTGAGCCCCGGCTGTCCCATGTCAAAGTGTCCCTGAGCAAGACACCTAACCCCTAATTGCTCCCTGGGCAAAAACGTAAATAGCCATGGGTTAAAAATGCAATGCAAGTTGCTTTTGGATAAAAGTGTCAGCTAAATGACCTGTAATGTAAAAGATGAACTTGCTGGTTGGACAGCTAAAACTGGACAAAATATACATTTATAATCCCTGTGAGAACCACTAATGTTACATAGTCTCATTTCAGAGGGATGGGGAGTGAAACACGGTGTTGTTAGCGTTAGATAGATGTATATATTAATCCCCAGGGAGGTGCTTTGTTTTGTCCTGCTTGAGCATCATAAAGACGTCATTCTACGCACAATTTGCTCACACGTGTAGTGTATTCAGGACTGAACCGGAGTGGACCGGACCATATCTCCTGGTGGGATTATATAATCTACCCCACTAACGGCGGTGAACGCGGCCGCTTTCCGCCGCCAGGTGGCGCGTCGCACCGGCCGGTAGTTTGAAACGTTGCATCGCGTCCCTGTGATGAACAACTGGGTCGAAAAAGTTCGATCAATAACACTTTTTTTTTTTTTTTACTTCCACTCCGATTATGATTCCTTACACCGCCTGTACGCGCGCGGTCGTGAGTGCACGCAGACGCGCGCATGGTGGAGCGGCACGCGGTCAGCGGGCGGCTGGGGGCACCCCGGGGGGGCGGGGCGTTTCCGCTCGCGGTCCAATGGCGGGACGCTCTGCGCGCGCCTTCCGACCAATCGGGGCTGCGACGTCCCAGTTCCTGCTCTTATAAATCATCACGGATCCCGTCGAGTCGGTACCGGAGAATGAGAGACACACCGACGACGCGCCACACGACAAGACATTGGACCTGTCAGGTCGCTTTTTACTTCCACGTCCTCGTTTTTCCAGGTAATCGCGCCTCTTTGTTTCCGCGTTGTTGCGCCCCTGTTTAACTTCCGCGCCTTGGCGCCCCGCTGCTTCTCGGTGACTTTTTATTGTTCCCCGCGATGTGGAAATAAACCCGCTTATCCGGCCGTGTAATGGCGCCGACGTTCAGCTCCGTGCGGGTTCTTTTTTTAAAGTGGGACCGTGAGTTTGATGTGGCGGGAGCGATGAACCGCGGCGAGGAAGCCCGATGATGTAATGTTGCGCGCGTCGTGTCCGCCTGCTGCTGTAACCATGGCTACAGGCGTACAGCGATCAGGCCGTAATGCAGAAGCTGTGCGTTCGCTTCCTCGTCGTGTGTTTCCCGGTCTTATTCTGCCTCGTTAAATTCAACCGCCGCCCGTCGGCCGGGAACATGTGGTGGCAAGTTGCGTTTCCCTTTGTTTCCCAAACTGGGGGGGGAGGACTGCGAGGGGGGGGGGTTTCACTAGAAATGTGACTTATTTAACCTCCTCAATGCGTTTCTCATCCCTGCCGCTTTCTAGAAGGGGAGACAATAGAGCTCTTAACTGTATGGGGGCTCCTCCCCCCCCCTCCCCAAAAGAACCCCCCCTCCGTTACGTAACGTGAGCTCCGTGGCCCGCGTGGTCTCATTCCTTGTGGTCTCATGCTCTTGTCCTCAGGTGTTCTATAGTGGGAGACAAGATGGCAACGTCCGACAGCGCCACGTTGAGTAAAACCGTCAAGCAGCAGTACATGGAGCTCCCTCAGGGGGGTAAAGTCCAAGCCATGTACATCTGGATTGACGGAACCGGGGAGGGACTGCGATGCAAAACCAGGACGCTGGATTCTGAGCCCAAAAGCATTGAAGGTAAGCAGCCTTTTTTTTTTTTTTTTTTGAATCCTCAAAACTACCGTAAAGATTATTCCCTAAGCTGTTAGTTGGAAACCGTCCCTCATGCATCCTTCCTCCTCTTGTAGATCTCCCCGAGTGGAACTTTGACGGCTCCAGTACCAACCAGGCCGAGGGCTCCAACAGCGACATGTATCTGCTTCCTAGTGCCATGTTTAGGGATCCGTTCCGCAAAGACCCCAACAAGCTGGTCCTGTGTGAAGTGCTCAAGTACAACCGCAAACCTGCAGGTAAGAAGGAAGCGCACAATCTCTACGATCTGCCCGCTGTAAGAGATGAATGTAAAATACGCTGTACGAGGAGTCCGACTGGCCACGAAGGCTGGGAGGAACATTGCTTCAGGGAGGGAGAGGGAGGAGGGGTGGGTGTCACCCTTGGTGGACAATTAAATGCGTGCATGTGCGTGTTAAAATGTTGGCTTAAAAAAATGCAAATATTGAACTGAGCCGGTTTCATTCAAAGGGAGGGACACACACACATGCTTTGGTGCAGGTTTGCTCGTTGGCTTGTGCACATTCATTCCCACGGCCAGGCTTGTAAAGGTGTGTGTGTGTGGGATGTAGGTGATGTGACGCGACGCATCAGTCACGCTCACCATATTATTCTAACCCTGAATAATGTTTTCATCCATAACTAAGAGGACATGTCCTGTCTTTTAAAGCTCAAATTTGACTGTACTGACACTTTGTTGTTGCAGAAACCAACCTTCGCATCACCTGCAGCAAGATAATGGCGATGGTGGAGGACCAACATCCCTGGTTTGGCATGGAGCAGGAGTACACCATCCTGGGCACAGACGGCCACCCCTTCGGCTGGCCATCCAATGGTTTCCCCGGCCCACAAGGTAAGCAGAGTTTCACGTTTGTGTGCAAGGAACACCTAGATTCCTGTCTGGGTGGTGTGCTTACTGATGAGTTCATTCACAGGTCCGTACTACTGTGGCGTGGGGGCTGACAAGGCCTACGGCAGGGATATAGTGGAGGCCCATTACAGGGCGTGTCTGTACGCTGGAGTCGAGATCTGTGGCACAAATGCAGAAGTGATGCCGGCCCAGGTAACCATGGGGGGGCCAATGACCTTTTGGACCGCTGCGACGGCGCGATCGAAATGTAACCTTGCTGTCTCGTGTTCAGTGGGAGTTCCAGGTGGGACCGTGTGAGGGGATCAGCATGGGGGATCACCTCTGGGTGGCACGCTTCATCCTGCATCGTGTCTGTGAAGATTTTGGCGTCGTTGCTTCATTTGACCCCAAGCCCATCACTGGCAACTGGAACGGTGCCGGCTGCCATACAAACTTCAGCACTAAAGAGATGCGGGAGGACGGCGGGTTAAAGTGAGTGGTCGCGTCGACGTCTCTTAATCTAGTGGTTGATTCTGTTGCCGTCCATGACGGATGTCTGACCAGTGTGATTTCTGCCCTCAGAGCCATTGAAGATTCCATTGAGAAGCTTGGGAAGAGGCACCGCTATCACATCCGTGCATACGACCCCAAGGGGGGGCTCGACAACGCCCGCCGCCTCACCGGCCACCACGAAACCTCAAACATCCACGAGTTCTCCGCCGGCGTGGCCAACCGCGGCGCCAGCATCCGCATTCCCCGCAACGTCGGCCAGGAGAAGAAGGGCTACTTCGAGGACCGTCGCCCGTCGGCCAACTGTGACCCGTACGGCGTGACGGAGGCCCTGATCCGCACCTGTTTGCTGAGCGAGGAGGGAGACGAACCCGCGGATTACTAAATCCACTATTCTATAAACTCCCACTGTCATCCTGACCTTCTTTTCTTTAAACTAGTACTGTATTTTTTTTTTTCTTTCTCCCACTGAGATGATCTTTAACCTGCATTTTAATGGCTAAAAGTTGGCTGGTCAACTTAAAACATGACACGGTAATGATGTCCTTGGTAGTTATACGCTGGTAATTACAGGGTACGTCTTTCCTCTCGTCTTTAGAAGGGATCGACTTTTGTAACCATGTTTTTTATGTTTCCCTTTCTGTTTGACTAAAATGAACTAAAGCGCACAGGACCCTGGAGAATAATGCTGCTAAAGGCTGGACAGCATGTGTAACTTAATAAAATTCTGAGTAGTTCATGTACTGTTAAAAAAAAAAAGTGACCTGCCTTGTCAAGGATCCAGTCTTCAATGTTACTAATTCTTTATGAAGTGTCTATTTTTTTAAATGGCAATGTTTGTCTTCAGATTTTGGCACACTGGGTCGACTCGTACGGTACATTGTAGATGTCTGAACCCAGACGCATGTTGTTCAACTGGTGCATTTGTCATTATGCCATTTGTAGATTTCCTCAAGGAGTTTTATCCTTTTGTTAACAGCGATATTGTAATGTACCTGATTTGGCAACACCTCGTTTACTGGACCTGGTGGTTTTTATTGATACATTTAAAACTTTTATTTTACCACAACATGGTTGTCCGGCTCTTGACTTCAATATTTATGCCGATCTGCATCCAAGCAGTGCAAAAGCTGTTATATTTGATCGGTGGGAGGCTCCCAGCTGATTAGCTTTGCATATGTACTGGGCCCTAGGAGGAACATTAATACGGTTTAGGGATTACTACGGCCGGGCCGTTACTTCGTAATGCAACGCTACCTGGCTGCTTATCCCTGAAAATGAAATCTTGGCGCAACACCTTAAATTTATCAGAGGGCCAGAGTAAAAGTTAAGTGTGGTCTGCAGTCTAAACCGTAAACACGTGTGAAAATTGAACATTTGGCAACAGCACTTTCTTGAGACGATAAACCCTGACTAATGCAAGAGGAAGCAGCGCCGTCGCTCCGCCTGACGTCTTGGCAGGTGATCAATCGAAACCTGTGTGTCGTAACAGGAAGCTGGTGTAAAATCCTTCGCTTGGAACTACAGCCTGGAGCTAACCAGCGCTGTGGCACCAACCGTGCAGCGTCTACTGAAACAGACCAGTCCATCAGGCAGACCAGGCAAATATTTGTACCCGACTGCTCTTTGGAACCGTATGGGACTTCAGGATTTAGGGTTTCATTTCCACCAGATTAAACATTTTGTGGCAAACGTGTATTTGCACAAAGTGCAGCTAATATGCTAAAGTGAAATCTCCCGTGTAGCTTAGCATAGCGTTCCAGCCCATGATGTCTCGTGACCAAGCTTTGCAGCCTGCTCGGAACAAATGTGCCAATTCATAGTGTAAGCTGTCCTAACAGAGACTTTAATGTGACTTAACAGTTAAATACATTACAAAGAGAATTTGGAAAGCTTTACGAGCCGACCACACATCCTTTGGTGGGACGTAAACATTTGCTCCACTCGCCCCACCGGGGGAAGGGCAACGTTGGTTTGCTTTGAGACCTTTCCCCCACATCCAGGCGGGCTTCGCCACAGCACATAAACCCCCCCGCTGATTGGATACGCCAGGTGCGAGTTGACCAATCAGAAATGTGAGGTCACGCTTGGTCCTGATCCAGAGGACGTTGGCTGGCCCGAAGCCAAAACATGTACTCGACAATCTTTTTCTTTTACAATCTCCATAAACTCTTTTACTCCGGTGTCTGACTTTGCAGGGTCATGGGGTTCGCTTATGGTCGCCATGAACAGAGCCGTGGGACAGAACACGAAGATTTTAAAGGAATGTTTGGCCCTTAAAATGACTCTTTATTATTTACTCTCCCAAATACCTTGAATTAGTTTGCGATTTCTTTATACAACTTCCTGTAAAAATGAATAACATAATTACAAAGTGATCAACACGGGGGCCAATGTGGCAGAAATATTCTTTTTCCAAATTCAGAAAGCGTTACGGAGTTCAAGTAGCATGTAGTGTAGGAAATGCAGTTAAACTGCCGTGCACCAAAGACAGAAGCCGAACACAGACCCCATATCCACTAGATTCCATCCACAGACCGACACACAATCCGAGAGGAATAAACATTTGGCCACACATTGTACGACAGCCCAGTATTCCCAGACCCAAACGAGGACACAATGTTCTTTTCCCTCGACCGACCCTCATCCCGCCTGGTCCTATATTCCTATATTCCTTTTACCATGAGGGTTGTCAAAACCTCACCAGAAGGCCCACTTAGCCCCAATCATTTTATTTTATATATATATATATATGTGTACATATTCAGCAGAAAGCTGCGTGGATCTGTCGCAGGGAGACTCATTTAGCACTTGGTTGTGAAATGCCGTCGCAGGATGTGCCGACTTTACTACCTTGCTACAATCTGTGAAAAGCACCTAATGACATTCAGTCACCGTCTCAGCTCCCTTCCACTTCCCCGCTTCGGAGCTCAATTAGGGGGCTCCGATTTGCATGCAGAAACCCAACCGCCTTCCGGCTGGGAAGCTCCATCGACGGGGAGACACTGGACAAAGGATGGAGAGGGATGCTGCCCTGTTGCTATGACAACCACCGGAATGTACAGGCCGGATTGTGGTGGTTCTTGTGTGCAGTGGGAAAGAAACCCAGCATGTTATGTAAGGAGGGGAAAACAACATGAAATGGGGTCTCATAGATGGAGCTGCACAATAACCCCCCCACCCGCCCCCCGGCCAAACACAATCAGTAAGCATGCACTCACGCTATGGCGCCAGGCAATGCAAATATCCTCCGACGATCTACAGTGTTTTACATATTATTAAAAATAGTAATCCGACGTAAAAAATAGCACATGGAGCTGCAAGAAAAAGGGCACGTGCACGGAGCATCTTTCCGTTTGGAAAGGGTTGCTGTCCGTGAATCTCTACTGTGTCGTTGTGTAACACAGCAAACTAGTTCAAACCAGTACTGGCTCTTCTTCAACAAACGAAGGGGACTCTGCATTAAAGACATGTTTAATGCTCCTTCTCACGCTCATGCGCAGTGAGGGAGCGATGAAATGCTCAGGCGGGAAAGGAAAATTGCAGCTTTTTGTTTTGGTAAAGAAAGCTGCAAGAGATGGGAGGTGGGGGGGATCTCAGAGGAGGACAACGTTGTCTCTTGGCTTATTTCTTTGTAAGAAGCAAAGTCTAATCCTATTAAAGAGAAAAAAAAAGAAAAGATGATGAGTTTGCTTGTTTCTAAAGGGTGTTTCTGTTTACGCGGTAGATACATTACCAAATCCAGATTTTTAGATCAATCTTGCACAATCGTCTCCCACACATGAACATAGTGTGCACGCTCACGTGCATTGAGACAATAGTGGAGCACTGTCTGCAGGGGCAGAGAATAACAAGTTGCTCCATGTTTACATCCAACGTGTTCTCACACAGACAGATGCGGAACCCTGACTCAGGGCCTCTTGATTGGCTGAGCGCTGGAGTGCTATTGGGCCGATGCTGGATCCCCCCCCCTCAAGCCCCTCATGCTTACCTGCGTCGTGATTGGTCACGGCATTGTGCGTGACACGGTGACACACTTTCGGGTGTAGTGCTGCAGAGCCGACCGCTATCTGTCTTGTTTAGGCGGCAGATAGAAGGTGCAGAGAATAGCTGCCCGGATTGCGTGTACAGCCTGATACATGCCGTCGATGTGGATAAAAACACAGACATCCGCTCTGCTATTTAGAATCAAAAGTATAGAGTGTGATGGGTTTGGTTACATTTAACTGAGCTCTGTCACTTCAGCCCTAAAGCAGTTCTGCTCAGCTTCACACAAGTTTAAACAGTGCACACTTCCTTCATTTGAATAGTTGGCAGGGCGAATAGCCAGATGTCGGCACCCGGGTAACGCCAAACTAACAAGAAGTGCTCCCCTCCCCCCAAAGGCCTTCTGCTGATTTATCTGCGGGGGTTGTCTCTGCTGCAACACACAACACAATGACAGACCAGCAGCCCCCCAAGGAACACATTGGCTGTGTTTTTCCGTTTCCTAATGCCGCAAACAACACACATCCATGTCCCAAAAGAGCTTTCAAACAAACAAAAAAGGTTAAGATGTAATATGAAACTTCACTGCATAATGTGGTGAGAGGTGGGAGAGATGATGACAACGCACTAATGCAATCTAACATTTACATAAAGAAAATGACAAACGTAAGATAAGATAAAGGTCGACAGTGCACACGAGAGACACGGTAAAAAAACAAGAGCAGCAGTATCATGATAATGATAAAAGATATTTGTAGATATTTTGAATGCAGTTACGGAATTAGTGAATGAGATTGAATGAGGTTTTGAGGGAAACTTGATGACGTGAAAACCTACAGTATATATATCTTGGATGAAAATAAAACCTTAAATTAGTTTCATTCAAAAAATCTGAATTTGTCTATTTAAAAAGAGCATGGATGTATGAGCATGAGAGGAATGATATAAAGGAGTATTTCAACAGGTGGAACAAGTCATACATAATGCAAACATCTGCCTCTCGTTCTGTGAAGCTGTTTGCTTAGGGGTTGAACCCCAAACAGCTCAACGTTCTGTGTCAACCTCAGCGCTGAATGACACCACCGACGAACAACGGCTAGCAGTCAGATTGGTGCAGAGGGAAGCACCCATCTGACTCTTTAGCCCCGATAGAAAGAAAGAGCCTCATGTCTCACAGCGTGGGAGCGGCTGGCGTCATTATTTCACGTGGAAGGAACAGCAGGCTTGACTAATGCTTTGTTTTCCGAACAACGTAAAGAAAACTTAACAAACGAATACGTGGCTACACATTTATTGAATTGATATTTAATTACCACAGGGAGTGTAAACCTTTTAACGCAGGATAGTCAGAACCTAAAGAGGAATTACAATTGCAGTATCTAATGTGGACAGTATATAAATGATTAAATGGAAAAATATCTTCCCTGGAAAAATATTTGAGGCAGTATCGGCCCGGAACCCAATCTCAATCTCCTTAAATACCTACTGTACATTCTATTCTAAGACTTTCTACACGGCAGAGCCGTTCTCGCTCACGCCCGCCCTGTTAGTCACAGGTGCACACACCTCATTGTTGAATGACATCACACCAGCAGTTGGGTGACATGCCCAATCACTGCGTGCGTCATTCCAAGTATTAGACTAATAGGTCCGTCAAAATTTAACAAGAAGATGAATCATTTCTCCTGACAACATTGTTCGATACCATAGAAAGTCAGAGGTAAAAAAAAACACTCAGATCCTTCACTCAAGCAAAAGATTAGATTAAAAAATACTCAAACATAAGTAAAAGACTGCAGTCAAAATCTTTAGGTAAACAAACAGTAGAAAGTATTATCGGCGAAATGTACCTGAAATATGAAAAGTAATCCTGAAAAAATGCTGATGATGCTGACTTGACACGTGTGTATTCTCAGGAAGGGCTGCACTGATTAGACGTCGAGGAAGTGAGATCCAATACACCAAAACACCACACGCTGACTAAGCAAATGAAACAAATGATCGCTCTGTACAATAAGCACTTCACTCGTGAATCAGACGTTTTGCATCGCCGTATGTGTGAATTATTGCCTGTGATCATTT